TCGGATCCTCATGAGGGGGAGAACAAGCGACCTCGATCACTTGAGCAAACTGCCCTACCAAACCAAACTCCACAGCCCATCCAACCCGAAACCTCAACAAACCAACAGACACCATCCACAGCCAACTTATCTAGCATGGTCGAGCTAGAAATAACATCCCGAGGCGTATCTCCAAGAGATACCAACCGAGGAGGGGATGGAAGTCCTGATGATGTTACCACTGGTACATCTTCTCCATCAGGCCATCAGTTGGAACCTAGTTCTAAGCTGATGTCAACGGGCAATCCTAGTGAACCCGGTAGTGCTACTCAGAAACAATCACCGCCTCAAAGACAACAAAGAGTTCCATACATCTCCCCAGGCAAAGACATCCATGATGCACTGGAGGAGGCGGTGATATATGACAAATGGCCGAGACAATGGACAGAATGGGACGATCTTCGGAATGAGGCTGAACAAGAAGACATGCAAAGAAACTGGTGGCTACGAGAGCTAATTAACAAATGCTCTGAAGATATCATAAGGCTCGAGGACGATGAACGCAAGGAAGGGGAGAATTACAAAGAATCCCAGAAAACTCTTGAATCGGTCGTAAGACAATCAGCGGGAAGACTTCCCAAGACAGAGAAACCATGGGATAACATTCGCATCAAAGCCCCCTTCCAAGAAGAAATCAGAGAGCATATCTGGCGTAGACCAGACAGAGTCAAGCCGCTGAATGAACTGAAGCTAAGAGGCCTTACTCATTTAAAAGGAAAGCAGGCTGGAGGTCATCTGCATATGCTGCTACAAAGGTCAACCGGTACACAAAGAGAAGTACTGTGATGGAACACTGAAGATAATCAAAGAACAGATTCTAAAGATGAAGGCAGAGCTAGAGGAAAATCTTCAAGAGGCATCGTCTTATGTTCAAAAGGAACACTCTACAGTAGAGACAATTTTAAAGGCCATTGACGATCGCCTCGAAAAGAGAAATACGCTGAGGCAATATGAACATGCACTTGGTATGAGGAAGCGCTACTTCAAGTCTCAGAAGCAATAAGAGAATGGCACTTGATCACAAAGGGGGAGATTGTAGGAGATATTTAATTGTGAATCAAGTTGGTCATAGATTAGCTTTATACTTAATCCTTGTATTTAATTAGTGCATGAATTAGATAGCAATCGGGCCAAGTGTTAGGCCCATATAAACAGGCTAAAAGCCTTGTACGCCTAACCTAAACCTCGCCTATAAAAAGGGAGCCGAGGTTTAGGAATAGGTTAACGTCGTGCTTATTCTTCATAGCCTTACGCGCATACTTTTGTGTTGTACGAGTTCACGGTCTATCAAAGAAGGTTTTACGTTGATTCATTCTGTGTTCATCCTTACGCTTAATCTTCGTTGTTAGATCGTTATTCATTGCTGTTACAGAAATAGGGACTAACAATCTCTCAACGGATGCAACATTCTAGGGGGAGTGTTCAAAGTAATCCTCCCCGGTGCCTAACAATGACAAAACATACCGAGTACTCCAGTTGAAGGGGAGTACAGAGAGAAAATGAAGAAAGTAATGAGAGAACATGTCCCTATGGCTTAGTAAACCCAACTAAGCCTACCCTAGGGACAAAGCCAAGCGTAAGTGCGTAAGTGAGCGAGTGAGTGAGTGAACATTATGAGCATTAGGAAGCAGAAGGCTCAAGTGAGAAGAAAAACAATTATCAATGATGAGTCTGCTACCTCAATTGCCTGCTATGAATTGAACACTTGCTCCTAGCCACTAAAATACTCTGGACTGTCCCCATAGGTTCAGGACTGAATTTATTCAGATCCCGGGTAGAAGTCGCTGCATTTTGTCCAAACGGCGCATGCACAACCCTACCCTAGACCACTCACTTGTCTCCCAACAGACAGGTGTTTAATCATAGTTCACGGGGAACCGCATCTCTCATTACTGTCTCCTTCCGAGGTAAGTAATACTGACTACAGTGGCCTCAGCCCCATGCCACTGAACTTTCATTGATCACGTCGTGTCTAGTTACCTCATTCCCAAATGTTTTGAATTTTCTAGGACACCGACGTACTTTTTTAGTCAGTTGCAGGTCTTCAAAGACCCGCGAGAACTTCCATAGGTCTCATCTATTGCAGATGTAGACTAATGATTGGAAGGAAGTCCTGCTGTTGCAACATAAGAATCACCAACATTTTCAGGTCATTGCTTTAGAGTTTATCTCTATAGTGATGAAAACGGGTGTCTACACGACCCCGGGGGGCTTTTATCATTTACTCTTTCTGTTTGTTTCCTGTTTTATTTCCGCAGAATAAAAGAATAAAAGCATGACGTCCCGATTCATCGGATCGTCATGAGGGGGAGAGTGGTCCACATGCTGTTAACACTGAACAAATCATTTTGGGACACTTCACTCCTCCATCACAGAAATCAACACCTTCTCTGCTATCTCTACAACTCAAATCAAATGGTCAGCTACACTCACAAATCAACAATCATTATGTTCCGTTGTGCCACCGACAAGTTTTCCTCAAATGCATTCATTCCAAATAGTCAAAAAGACTACATTGTGGAGGAGACAGAGGTCAAATACTCGTGTCCTGAAGATGAATTCCATGGGCGTCTCCTATTCTCCAAAGAATATTCTATCTAGAGGCGTCACCGGACTTCATCCAAGCTGATCAAGAGCAACTTCTGGAAGGCAAGGACTACATGCAAGATACAGAAGGTCCCTCAACCCCCGGCATCAAAGATCAAATTGTCAAGAAGACATCAAAGGGGAGATTGCAAGGATTTCTTCAGATAGCCTTCCTCAGAAGTCAAGTTCAAAGACAAAGGAAGCTCAATAACAGTAAAGACAAAGATATCTGCGCTGCAATGCTGATTCAACACGATTGATCACCAAGGGGGAGATTGTTGGAAATATTATATGGTGTTCAATCTAGTTAGTTATCATTGTATTTGTGTAGTTATTAATTAAACGTGTAATACGGGCCACAAATGTGTATCGGCCCGTGGGCTTCCTTGTAACCCGTAAGTTAGCTAACTTCTCCTATAAAAGGAGGCTAACTTACGAGAACCCTAACTGATCGAAAGAGGCTGAGAGTACGAAGAGGCGAGATAGAGAGAAATTAGGGTTGCCGCTGCTCTCCTTCTCCAGGGAGAGCAGCAAACAGTTCATACGGTATACCAGATTTTGTTTTAATCTTCTCGATTTCTTTCTATCTGCTTCTTTATCACTGCTTATGTTTGTTGTTTGTTAAATTCTGGGTTTATCACAACCACCTAATAGTCCAAACCTTAATGTCCTAAATTTAGTGGGTTTTAGGGCAATAGATGCCATTAAAGATTAGAAAGCCCCCCAAACCATCACTGACTTAATACATGCAGTCACAACATCATTTCATGATTTTACACCAACAACACTCAACATGGTTTCTTAAGCTATCAGTGTGTAATGGAACATATGCTTACACATAATGATGGAAACAATTTCCAATTGAAACACATTGGTAAGGACATATTACAAAGGCAGGGGCTGTTACCAAACAATGTGCAAATATCTCCACAACTGTATGAGACAGCAATGGCACATGTGGCAACTACCACAAGATAGTTAACAATGGAAGAGGATGAGTTCATGTTTGAAGATGTACCACATCTTCACACTTGAACTATTAAATTGCACTGAAGTCAGTTAAGTTTTTGTAATAGTGTGCATATTTTTGGTAGTACTTTAATAGTGCACATTTTTAATGCACTTGTAGTTGGCAGACAGTACACTATTAAACATAGTGTACACCAGTTTAATTTTAAGCCCAAAATGTAAGAAAATGGTGTTCGGTAATGTATGCAAGTCAAATGCAACTTGGAATGTACACACACTATTAAACATGTTCATGTCAAACAGAAAGCAACACAATAAGGTCCCTATAAATCTATGATCATCAGTTAGAAATGGGGTTCACCACATCATCACCACACATTTCGCATTACAATACATATGTACACATCACACATAGTACGAAGTATCAGACATCATACATAACACACAAAAGTAATACAATAAAATGAAAAGGGGTTTAAGATGATTACTACCCTTTTCCTTCGTTGTCGTCATCTGCTTCCAGCCCCTTCCTGCATTCCTCTTCTTCCCCATCATTGCTGCCATCCTCCATTTCAGGCCCCATGCTGCCTTCATCTTGGTCGTTCGATGGTCCACCCACCACCGCTGCCAAAATGACCTCTTCGCCTTCTTCTTCTTCCAAACCGTCTAATCCATCATAGGTATCAGAAAAAAGAATAGAACCATATTTCTTCCGGATCCACCAGTTCAGATCAGTTTCAGACGAAACCAAACTTCCGCAACGCACTACGTATAGCTTCTGAGGAACTGGGCTATGAGCTTCTTAAAAGGGGACGAAACTTTCAGGTCTGGGTTTGGAGATGAAGTTTCATCAATTCCATGTAAAGTTGGAGACGATATAGGATGAAATGGATCCATGCAGAAGGGAAGCGATGAAATGGATCCATGCGATATAGGATAGATCTAAGTAGCGATATATGGGTTTCACATATGAAGGGCTTTGTCAAAGGGGTAACAATAGAAGGATTTCTGAGGGGTAGCAATGGGGGATCTTACAAAGGTGGAACTTAATTTTGGTACAACCCGAAAAGGAAAGGTGGAACTTGTTTTCGGGAGGGATGGAGTAATTTAATTAAAACAGTCCACTAGTGCAAAAAAGCCTTTTTACATCACCTTATCTACATGTGTTACTTTAAAACCCATATAGAATACTAACATGGGGTCTTTTTTTATAATTTGTATAAAGTTTTTTAGATGGGTTGGTGTTATAACCCATGTTAAAATCCAAATCGGGGTACTTTTTAAAATTTTAGAAAATATTCTAAATCGGTTATGTTTGGAACCGATGTGAAAAGAAAAACGGGGTAGTTTTCATAATTAACGAAACTTTATTTTAGATAGGTTAAAACCAATGCGGAAGAAGAAAAAAATAAAAACATCGGATCTTATTTCAGACCTAAAGCGATTTTACAACTAAAGCAAGACAGAGAGACCGAAGACGACGGAAGAGCAGTTCCGAGTTACATAGAGCGATTTCAGACCTAGAGCAAGACAGAGAGACCGAAGACGGAAGACCGCGGCTGGCGTTCAAGCGGACGTCAGATGGCAGACGGTGTTCCAGCGAAAGGCGGACGGCGTTCGAGCAGCGGGCGAGTCATCCTCTTCAGCAATTTACGGTAACTCCCAAACTCTTAAATCGTTTACCTTCTTCTGCGAACTGGTCTGTAGCTTTACCTTTGCTCTTCTCTGTTTCTCGGTTGGTATTCGAACACTGCTGTATAGTACTCTGTATATTGGGTAACGTAAAGGCTGAGCTTGTAGAGGTCAGCTTTCTCTGGGTTGTGGAAGTAGACTGCAGTAGTTAATGAACATTCCCATTCTGGACTTTTCCCAGGAACTTGTATCAGTCTGTAACACTCGAACATCACATGTATTTTCTCAACATCACATGATGCTGATTCTGGATCTTTTTCCAATTTTACTAGAAAACCGTTTGTGTTTCTTGGGTAAGCTATCAAATTGATGAATTTTACACCGTTTAAAGCTAATTAAAGCACACCCATGGCACCTATTTAGAACACGTATTGCTGAAAATGGTTGATGTTATGAAGTTATGCTTGGAAGTTCATTTATGCTTTTTCTTGTTTGTGATTCTAACCTTTTATAGTGTCTGCAAAAAAAACTGAGTGTTCTAGTTAATTATTTTTCTGAATTTCTTGAAAGCCTAACTAATATGATGCTGATGAGAAAAAGTTAAGAACACGTTTGGTTGTTCCCTAGGAAAGCATTTTCCTAGTCAAACTCTATTTTTTAAAAAAATCTCCTAAGAGAAAAGTCACACTTGAGTTTCGAGCTTAACAAAATGTACACTTAGCTCCCAAGAGTACCGAAGTTTTTACATTTATGTATTTAGTGGGGAATTTAAACAATTTGTGGGGCATTTAATTTGAACAATTATTAAGGTGGAGCTACTATAGAAGTGTTCTCTTTGACTGATAAGTTTGATCTGAATTTTTAAATATATGGTATTTTGCTAGACCGAGTTTTTCTGAATCTTTCTACTTATTAGTTATTACTAATTAAATTTCCATCATACAAAAATGATATCAATGCAGTGGCCTTGGTAACTACGTTTATTGGTCATTTCTAGTTGACTAATGGTAGCTGTATTTGTAATGTTTTTGTCCATAATTTTAAAACCAACACAATCCAGCGTAAAAACAAGTCATTTTCCCTGAATCTAAGTACAAGTACTTTGCTTTTTTGTTTCTAAATAAAATAAAAGTAGGGCATCCTAAAAATCATATTTCCTGCAGCATTATCAAGAATAAAAAATGATCTTAGCGTGATTTGAAGATATCAAGGAAACACATTATTTTTAATCCTACTTAGAGCAATTTCTTTAAATGGATTTCTGGACCTGATTAAAATGTAATATTTTCTTTTGAAATTTGTGGTTTGCCTGAAACTCTCATTACTAAATGAACAGGTTTTACACCTGACCAAATGGGTACGGGCAGCAAACTTCGACCACCCTGCGGGCAGTATCCTCCTGCATGGAATCCAAACCATGTTTCTGCCCTTTTACAACTCGGCCAGCAGGTCAATCTGGCATCTTTTTATGTATTATTTTTTTAAAATTATTGTTTGTCTTTTATCCTTTTTTATGTATACAGGAATCATTGGCAGCTCTTTATTCTCTCTCCTATCCAAAACACCATTGTCTTCTTGTGTTCTTTGGGGAATAAGCCAAATAGACAATTCAAAAATATCAGTGATGCGTAAGTATTTTGTACATTCTGTTTTATTTAATTTTTGAATATATATTGTATATCATAATTACATAAATAATTTATTATTATTATATATATATATATATTTAATATTATAAATTACATAGTGCAATGGAGGCAAGCCGTAGGCTCAACTCAAGAAAGGGAAGAGTGAAATGGATTATTCCTATGGTAAATACTTACTACTTTACTTTGTATGTTATTTTTACTTTCATTTGTGTAGCATCAAGTCGAATACCATAATTTGTGATTAGTAATTATGTTGTTCTAATTTGTAGTCTCGGATGCAAGTTGGGAGTTATGAATGTGGTTATTATGTGATGTTGCATATGTTGAATATTGTTTTGGCGGTAATTCTTGAAATGTGGGATGAGGTACGTTATTATTTTATTTACATTCAATAGCTTTGCTCCACATGTAATGTTTTTTAATAACCTTCTTATTTAATTTGTAGCGATTCGTCAATCTGGAACCATTCTCATCAGAAGAGATCGATGAAGTACGAACTCGTTGGGCATCATATTTCTTAGAAATGACGCAATCCATCAACGACATGATGAACGTGTTTGTTTAAGTTTTTGAGTGATGATGAGACTTGTAACTTTATACAATGTGTTATTACTCTAGACTTGTGCAATGATTCTTTTATTTTAGCTTATTATTATGTACTAAGTTGTTACTTGAACTTGTTTAACATTTGTGGATGAATTGAAAAATAGCTTGTGTTATTGTTTTAGATGGATCAAGTGAACAGGTGAAAAATTGTGCTATAGTAGTTGATGATACTGTTAATGATGTGATTATAGTATAAACAGGGGTCATATTGCAAATTGTTTTCTGTGAAAAATACCGAAAAAATTGAAGCTTTTCACATCAGTTGTGAAATAACCGATGTGATTGCTTTTCTACATGGGTTATAACCGATGTGAATCACATATGTTCTGGAAAAAATGAAACTTTTCACATCACTTGTGAAATAACCGATGTGATTTCTTTTTTACATGGGTTATAACCGATGTGAAAAACCTATGCTCCGGGAAAAATTGAAGCTTTTCTACATCAGTTGTAAAATAACCGATGTGGTTTCTTTTCTACATGGGTTATAACCGATGTGAAATATAATTAAAAACGCCATTTCGGACTATCTTCTAGATCGGGTACTAAACGACCGAAGTAGAAAGAATTTTCACATCGGCTGTTTGACCGATGTCAAAAGTCAATACTTTTCACATGTGCTGGAACCAAATCGGCTGTTTGACCGATGTGAAAAGCCTTTTTTGACCGATGTGAAAAGCCTTTTTTGTACTAGTGGTCCGTGAAATACAACTTTTGCGACCGAAAATACACTTTGGGGTACAAAGGGATGACCTCCCACATGAGTGGGGGCCACCCCACGTTTTCTCTAGCCCTTAATTGATGAGAGGAGTGTGAAAATGCTTACTTTTGAGGAGATAGGCGTGCTAAGGAGAAGGTTGAGACAAGAGTTTACTCAAAGAGGACTCTTGGCCTCGCCCCTCATCATTGTGGAAAGAGCCAAAATACACTCTCATCACTCCCATTAGCCATTTATTCTAACCAAGACCCATCTAGGAAAGGAGAGAGTCTTCAAATCACAATTTTCATCATTCAAATTTGCACCAAGAGCAAGGGAGGAAGAATGAAGGAAAAAGAAAAGAAAATGGGAGATTAAGAAGGAAAAATCTAGGATAACAAGGTAAGGGCTTGATTAACCCCATTTCTTTCTTTAATCTTCTCATATGATTATGTAAATCATATTATAAACCCCTAGACTTGTTCTACACATTTAAAAGTGTAAAATAAGGGGTTGGAAGGTTGGTTTGTAGCCAAGAACAGACATAGAAGTCAAAGTAGATCGGTTCGCTGGAAAGTGACTTTTGAGAAGTTATAGTTATTAATATGAGTCTTTGGGACACAAAACCTTGTTAGAGACTTGTTTAAGGTGAAGTTGACTTTCTCAAAAAGTTGAGAACTGGCTGGAGTAGTTTCCGTAGATCGCTGAATTTTTTCCGGAGTTTCGCGGAAAATCAATCGGGGAGGCTAGAAGTTCTTGAGATTATAACCATCAATTAAGGTGAGAAGACGGTTTTATGCTTTATAAAATTTTGAGTGAGGCATGAGATTACCTAATTTAATCAAGAATATATTTTATGAAATGATTAATTACATCTAAGTGTGTGATATGCCATGTTAAAGCATGATTATTGTGGAAAAGCATATTCTACGAGTTGGTTATTAAAAATGTCATCATTTATTATATATGATGTTCCAAGGATACAAAAAGGAATTTTTGAATTGATTAAGTTGAGATGTATATGTGTATAAAATTTCATAGAGATTGGACTTAATTTGGGCGATCAAATGAGCGTTGACCTTCAAGTCAAAAAATGTCAAATACTCAAATTGGCAGTTTTGAGTAGTTTAACGTGGACCATTCGAGTGAGAATCGTCCATGATGAACACTAAGGAATATATGATTATAGGACTAGGAATAGTCCATAGAGAAATGTATGATGTGTTAGCCATATCCGGTTTAGGATTATGGTAGGAATAGTAGAGGTAGAGTACCCTTGGATGGTAAATGATCCTAAATACTCCACGTTGGGGTAGAATACTCTTGGACGGTAAATGTTCCTAAATACTCAGAGTTGGGGTTGAGTACCATTGGACGATAATTGATCCTAAATACTCCAAGTTGGGGTTGAATATATTTGGATGGTAAATGATCATAAATACTCAGTAGTATATACGAATGTAGGATGTAGCTTGTGAGCTAGGCATTCGAGAAAAGAATGAGAAAGGTTGGGTGAAGACATGTTCTCTAATAGACTTATTAAATGAAAATGGCCTATGAGTTGAATATTTTAAAAGTATATATCGTATGTATCATCTTGTGGATGAGGCAACGGTAGTTACACCTATAAGTATATGTATCCCCCTAGTTTTGAGTCTATTGTCTGAAACATTAGTTATTCCTCATATAGTCTGCTTGTCACCAGTACTACTTTCTGTGGAGTATTGATCCCTTTTGGGGACTCACTATTTTCAGGTTAAGGCTAGGGTCCTACTACCTGCACCTTTACATATGGCGGTTCGTGCTTCACATTTCATTTTGAACTTATAATTATGCTCATGGATATTTTGACATTATTTTTCTATAAATTATTTGGGGGCTTGCGTGCTCATGTTTGCCACTTGTGGTGAATGATTAAACATATTATTAGTTCCGCATTTTGTTTGATTATGATATTGATGTTCGTTTTATGTGTTTACTAATCGGTGTGGCATTTGAACCTATTGGGTGCCTTGTATGATTTAATATGAATGAACTATAGTTGTTCCTATTACATTGTATGGCAGTTATCCACGTGGCACGGACGCGGTCTAAGGCCTGACAGACCAGGTCGCTACAATGACCAAACCACCTGCCCAGGTCCGAGTGATCTCGTTATCCACACTGATGTGTACACTTTCACTTACCCTATCCACCACCATCTCCACGATAACCAACTCCATCGGTACTATACCCCCACCACTTCCCAATTACTGCCCAACCCCCTCTCACCGCCACTACCCCCACGGCCCACCATGTAACTGTGTTGGGCAGCCGCTTCCCCCACACCTCCTCCAACCATTTCCCCGCGCCCTCTCCACTTCCCCAACCACTGGCCTAGCCCCTACACCACCCCCTGAGACCGCTAGTTCACCAGAACCACTCTGAATTCCTACGACATCACTCTCCGCTATAAGGATACTCTAGCCGCCACACTTATTTTCGATCTGAAAACCTAGCCACCACAATCGTCCTTGATCTAAAATGGTAGTTGCTCCGATCCAAAACCATAGCTCCTCAAATGAATCCCTAGCGCCACCAGACCTTGAAAGCCATAAATATACCTTTTAAATCCCTAGCGGATTCAAAGGTGTTTCTATCTTATCAAAGGGAATATCCAACCTAGTTGCATTCAATTCATGGAAGTCGATGGTTCATCCCTTCCCTTCCAGTCTATTATCATATCACCTACAAGAATCCCAGGCTCATTCGACATCCCCCGGTGAATGAATAAACCCTAGGAAAAGTTTATATAGTTCTAAATCTTTCTTATTATTTCTTTATTAATTCAATAGCAACCACATAAACCAACTTTTCTTAATAACCACACATCTTCCTCATGTTCCAATTTTATTGGGACAGAGGTAGTATTATATTTTCCAAAAATTAATGTAAGTGATACTTTTTACCATCTATTGCCAGTGTTCTAAAAGGCGTGAGACGTGCCAAGGCGTCGAGGCCAAGCCTCAAGCCTTTGAAGCCTAGGCGGGAAAAAGCGTTTTAGATTTCTATTGATAATTATTATTTTAATACTAATATATGAAGAAGAAAATAAATGTCCAAAATATATTATACAAGATTGAGCCTAATATATTATAAAAAGTGCAAATACAAAAGGATACATTGTAGTTTTTTACTATTCCATATTAGATTACATATATAACATGTTTATAAAAGTACTTTATTTTTAAATTTAATCAGTTTTTATTTGCAAAAAATATTTCATATGGAAAACTTACGCCTTTTCACGCCTTTTCACGCCTAGGCTTCGTCTTTTCACGCCTTTGGTGGTCAACTTTGGAGTTGACCGCATTTTCCACGCCTTTCTACAATGCGAGGTGTTTCTCCGTCGCCTCACGCCTAGGCGCGCCTAGGCCCCGCCTTATGCCGCCTTTGAGAACACTGTCTATTGCTCATAAATCAATAATAATACTACCTTCGTCCCAATTTGATGTTTTCAGTTCCTATTCACTTGTTCAACACAAATCATTCTTGATCTCTTACTTTATATATCAAATTTTTTATCAAATTTAATTTTTTTCTTTTGCGACTTTGTATAATTTTAAATTTAGTTTTTGAATATGTAAATTTTATTTGATAAAAATAATTTGAGTGCAGATAGGGATTCATTTGCTTTATCGTCGGTCAACCATCGTAAACCACAACGAGAACATCAAATTGGGACGGAGGGAGTATATATATTTTGGAAATAAATTTTAATAATACCAACTATATGAATAAATAGTAGACATAACATAAAATCACTTTTTGACGAGATATCCAAGCATTTAAAATACTAAAAATTGTTATCAAATGATATTTTGAAATGAGTCTCTTATTTGAAATACTAGTATTTTGAAATGACATACTAGTATTAATTTTTTATGAGTTAAACGACTGGATTTTTAGTGAAAAAGTGTTTTGCATCACTTTTGTTATATACTCAAATATTTGTTTACAGTTTGTAGTTTGTCGTATTTAAAGTTATTTTTTTTACATTTTTATTTCTTAAATGAAGTAGTAAGTGTCAAACTTGATGGAGATGTGTTATGGAAGGGATGTAGTAATTAAATACGAATGCGTTGTAAATGTCTTCCGACATTGTACGGATTGCCCTTGTTAGTTGAAGAAATCACCCTCTTGTCGCTCCTTTCAAGGTGTAGGGATAACTTATGAGCTTGAGTTCGTCTTCGGTTAAACAATTTCTAGACATCACTTGAATGAATTTGTAGAACTCAGTGATGAAGTTGAGAGAGTTCTCCCCCGATTGGCCATGAAAGTGATCTGTAATATTGAAGTAGCTATTATTCATTTCATAGTCGCTACCCGTCTCTGTAAGGACAATACAAGACGGGGTGGAGGAAACAATGGTCCTCTTCCTCTCATTGAGTGTTAGCATCACCTTTGTTTCTTTTCTTTCCTTCTCGGTGTATTTGCATGTTCGTTCTGTTAAGATCTGGGTTCCATAATAAAAGGTCAACCTGATAGGTTGAGTAACCCAAAGTCTTATATAGTGTTTTATTATTTTTATAGATTTCCGGTGTGTGGCATATACTTTGACACGTTCTATTTCAAGATCAAGAGGTTCAACACGTTTAAGACTTTGACTTCTCAAATGCATTCATACAGAAATATATGGTAGTATACACACATGAAATAAAGTATTGCAAGAACAAGTGAAAAGCAAAAAGCTTGAACGGGCCAAAAGCTTGAACGGGCTAAATTTTCAAGTATATGAATGCCGATTGTAGTAATAAATATCGGTAAATACTAGGTTGATCAACAAGGAAACTTTCGATGTTATAGTGTTTGAGATTTAGATACGATGTATAGAAATGAATGAAGTTGTAGGCCGGATTTCTTTTGTTATTGGATTAAAATGTAAGGATAAAGATTAATGTGCTATTTGGATTCTCCTAATTTAACGTTTACTAGAACTTAATACTAGTTCTTAGCCAATAGTTATGAGTACGATGTCGTCAACATATTCACAACTCCGTTTAAGGTCATGGGAACCTGATTTTCATTATATGTAAGACCCATTACGACTTACATTCATGTACCAAAAACTCTGTTAAATATGATCAAGACATCGCACACGTATATACATGACTGGATATATTTCTTTTTTCGATACTTGTATATTTATCCTTTATGTTCATAGTTAAGACATCAACGTTAGGTTTGACTTCTATATTGTACACCCTAGTCATAAACAATCAATAATGTAAAGGAAAAACTACAATTTATTGGTTCAGAACTTCATCAAACACCTAGTGGCCACTCATAGAGGTTTATTCCTGGCCTTGGTTTAGAAATTAGCCTCTAGTGTGCTACTCATACTAATCACGATTCAACAATTACATGTAAAGGAATAAGAAAATACAAATGAAGTAATACTTAAACACCAATGTTTACAGTGGATGACATTCCCTGCACAAGAACTCCAAGAAAAGAGTATGAGCATAAATATAGAAACTAGGAATTAAATTAAGGATTGAATGATCAATTAGTGATGGAATGAAGGCATTAACTAAACAAAAAATTAACATAGTTTAGTCTATTCGTAATAATATATCAATATGGGTGAAATTTCTGAATCTTACATCTCAAAATCTTCATTGTTCATCAACATTCTGTGTCCTACTTCCTTCCGGATTATGTGAGTAAAGAAAGTAAAAAATTACCAAACTCTCCTTAGGAGTTATTGGCGAGGATAGTAGGATCAAGGAGAATTCATGTTTTCTATTGGGATTCACAGTAAGGGCCACGTGCCATCCCAACCTACTATTTGAAGAGGTGGGCATGGGACAGAGCATTTGAAACCCGACCTAGCCCATTAGCCCAACCCGTCAAGGCCCATCCCGGCCCATCCCTATTAAGGCCACCTGAGCCCATCATAGAAGCCATGTATATACTACTTATTAATTTTATACTAATTCATAAACATTGAAGCATTAATTTACTTATAAGATTGTACATTATATTGTCAAAAGCTAGGATGCAAGAAAAGGCAATATTGGATAAGAAGAGTAATAAGATATAGATATTATTGCATCAAGACCATATCGGATGATTACGTCTGATATAAAAGAGAATGAATTTTTGGATGATTAATAAGTTATAAAAGTAATGGATAAGTGTACTCGGGGGTAGTTTATCCGAGGGGTTATTGCGGGGAGAGAGTAGAGAGAAGTCAGAGCAAAAGTAAGAGAGAGAATATGTATTGCTGAGATGTATTGAGCGTATTGAGTCTGCCCTACAAATGGGGAAAAGGGGTGTTATTTATAGTAGCAATAAATGCTATATAGGGACACGTGTCATCATTCTGGCGGTCGAGGGGTCACCTCAATGGGGTGGCACTGGCACTCGCATGTGGCCGCATTAAATGCGGTGGTTGGATGTGACGTTTGTACTCGGTACGTTGATCCAGCGCATGTGGGTGGGAGATTCTGTCGAGGAGAAGCCTTCGGCCGTAGATGATTAGCCGAAAGCTCTTCATCCCGGGGGCCTCTAGGTGCCGAGGGCTCTAGGTGCCAAGGGCTACTATTTTCGCCGCTTTCTCCCAGACACTTTGAGTGCTTAAAAGAAGCTGTACTGTAAGCTTATGAGCCTTCGGCTAGGGGGCCAAAGGCATCCCAGTGTTCGTCGTGGGCTGTTTGGCACTTGGGGCGCTGTGATTTGGGCCTGCTGTGCTTCCTGGGCCTATTGGGCCTTCGCTATAGTATTGGGAGTCTATGGGTCGGGGGTTCCTGGGCCATATACTCCATCAGGAGTCCCTCACTCCTTTTGCCAAAAGGTACTTGAGGAAAAAGGAGTAAGATGCGTTTGTTCTCTGATGCTGCCTTGCTGTAGTTTGTAAACCTGTGTGAGATCTTGCGTTTGCACACGATTCTGCCGGGGGCAGCCCTTCAGTCCCCCACATTTTGGGACTGAAGGGTGTTGATGTTTTGTGAGAATAATTTTTTAGCATTTTTTTATTTTCCCGGTTCCCGGAGGGGTTCTCCAGTCCCCCACTCCTTGAGGCACATGTAATGTGGTGAAGAGGAGTAAAGTAGTGCCCGCTGTTATCATGTCGCCGAAGGCTGATGCTTTTCGTTTCATTTTGGGGGGATGCCTTGTTAGAAAAACCTCATTAGAAGAAACCCTGTAGGAAAAATTCTAATGAGGGAAAAAGAGTGCACCGAATTCCCCCAACGATGAATCGAAAAGGTGAAACCTTGGTCCGAAATGGATGACAGTATTGTTGATTTGCCGAAGGCGTTTGTCTGAGGGCGTGTGTGTTGATTTTCCGAAGGCGCTTTGTTAATATCCCGAGGGATGCCGAAGAGGAGTCCCTCAATCCATGGGATTGAGGGCGTGATGAATGTAAGTGGTAGTTGCTGTGTTGCCGGGGGGATTCTCTAGTTGTTGACAAGCTGGGGATGAGGGCACCCGAGGGGTCCAGTTGTTGTATGCCGAAGGCTAACCACTGATGAGGGGTTTGGAGGTGTGGCCCCGAGGGTTCCCTGATTCCCAACACGTTGAGGGTTGAGGGGTCCCGAGGGATCTTCCCGTTTGTTAAGCCGTGGGCTCCTGAAGGAGAAAGCCCGAAGGCATTTGTAATATTGTATGAGGGGTACCGGCCGGGAGCACCTCTGTGTTTTCAAAATATAGCCGTTGAGATATGACCGTTTGTAACACCCCGGGGCCCCACACGGACCCGAGGTAGTTACTCTAGACCTCTAGTACTGTCCCCACAAACCACCACGAGCCTTTACCGTGCACTTTGTCCTCACTCATGCGCGCCCTGAGAAACTTCCCAGGGGGTCACCCATCCCAAGACTACTCCCGTGCAAGCACGCTTAACTTTGGAGTTCTTGTTAAGCCGTGGGCTCCTGAAGGAGAAAGCCCGAAGGCATTTGTAATA